ATATGTGAAATTTGAACAACCTATGTAAGTTGAAAAAGTTATTCTCGTGATCAATGTTTTCGGGGTTGTGGCCATCGTGGTGATGTATTGCATATCTGGTGGTCATGCCCGAGACTGTTTTGTTTTGGTCTCGTGTGTTTGGCCTGCTTTTCACCTTGTTCCATCTCTCCATACGCCGGGATGCTCGGTATGCTTTGCTTCATTGCCCCATACCAGGCCTCTTGGCTCACCAGCAGAAGTTGGCTTCCTATCTGTTTTTATCCACCACTAGAAACAATTGCTCAGGCCTGGAAGAGTCCGTTTGTCCCTCTTCAGGTGGTGCGGGATCGTATGACCACTATGATGCTCAACGAACAGATGTTGAGTATCCGCAACGACTCCCAACGTAAATTTTTGAAAATATAGGAGCCGTGGCTGCAATATGCCTTTCCCTCACTCCCCCCGGCTAGTCTGGGGATGTAATGGCGTTCGGTATTGGCGCTCTTGGACCCCTGCTCTTTGCCCCCCCCCCCCCTTTTTTTTTTTCTCCTCTTTCTTCCTTTTTCTTTCTCTCTCTGTTTTTGGTGTGACTGGACAGCTGCATTTAGTTGTTATAGTAAGTTACATTAATGTTTTGTAACTTATGTGCCATTGATAGCCCCTGCGTGAGCGTACCTTTTGCCCTGTTGGCGTTAGAGCACTGTTTTTCCCTTTTTTTTAATTTTGCATTTTGTTTGCATCTGTGCAATTGATAGCCCCTGCGTGGGCGTGTTTTATTGCCTCTGTTTTATACTGTTTAAAAAAATTAATAAAAACCATTGAAATAGAAAAAGTTATTCTCATTTTTGCATTACTTTTGGTACAGCTCTTGCATATATTAGTATATATAGTATAGATTAGAGGGCTATTTATCAATCAATTTAATTAGATAAATGTTTGAATCTTAGGTAACAATAGTATACATCATGGGTGAAAACATTCCCTTGGCCTCCATGACTCTGTTCTGTTCCGGTTCTCCTCTTACTTATCTCAGCGCACTTTCAATGTTACAACACCATCTACACTGCTCCCCTCCCTCTTTCTGTTAGGGTACCCCAGGGCTCTGTCCTTGGGCCCCTCCTATTTTCACTCTACACTTCTTCCCTGGGCTAGTTGATAACCTTCCATGGCTTTTCAGTACCACTTCCATGCCGACGACTCACAGATCTATCTCTCTACTCCCCAACTCACCCCCTCAAACTCCTCCTGTATCACCAATTTTACTGAGCGACATATTAGTATGGATGTCACACCACTTTCTCAAAGTCAATTTTTCTAAAACTGAGCTTGTAATATTTCCTCCTCCCTGATCCCTCCCTCATGACTTTACCATTGAGATCAACAGAACAACCATTAGTCCCTCAGCACATGCCAGGGTGGTAGGTGTAATCCTAGACTTTGACCTCTCCTTCTGGCCGCACATCCAATCACTGGATCTTGCCACCTCAACCTCATCAACATTTCCAGAATTCTGGAAATCTGTATAAAACTTGTATTATAATAATAATAATAATAATAAAAAAGAGATCCCTAAATTGTGGCCATAAGGGATGCACATGGCCAACACTATGTAGATATGCTCTGATATTGAACAGATTATTGATTGATTAACCATCACAAAGTGTGCCAAGAAAACCATTCCCCACACCGTTATACCAGCAGACCGTACCATTGACTCAAGGAACGTGGTTTCCATGGATCCATGTTACTAATGCCAAATTCTGATGCAACCATCTGCGTGCCTTAGCATAAATTGAGGTTCATCAGACCAGATCACTTTTTTTTTCCAGTCGTCAACTATCCAGCTTCGATGAAACTAGAAACAACATCCAGTTTTGCTGAGCCTGTGCCCACTGCAGCCTCAGCTCTCTATTCTTGGCTGACAGAAGTGGACCTGAAGTGGTCTTCAGATGTTATACTTCATCTACCACAAATTGCAAAGTTTGTGTATTTGGAAATGCATTTCTGGTCCACACAGTTGTAAAGAGTGATTATTTGAGGTACCATAGCCTTTAAATTAGCCCAAACCAGTTTGGCCATTACCCCCCTGACATCTGGGGGTTTATTTACTAAAGCTGGAGAGTCCAAAATCAGACTCCCTTCTGCATAGAAACAAATCAGCTTCCAGGTTTCATTGCCAAAGCTTCATTGAACAAGCTGAGGTTAGAAGCTGATTGGTTTCTATGCAGAAGGGAGTCTGATTTTGGACTCTCCAGCTTTAGTAAATAAACCCCCTGGTGTCAAGGCATTGGCATCAAATAACTACCATTCACTGAGTGTTTCTGTTTTTTTCAGAGTAAAATTGCAGGAGATCCGCAGTCCTATAGACACAACATCAAGTTAAAGCAAATTTCCCCAAAGTGAACTAAATTTTCTATTAGACAGTTGTCACTGGAACAGATGTTGAAAGTCTTCCCTCTCTATTTCTGTTTTTTGGTGCCAACTCAAATCTTACATTTTTAATCACTTTCAGTCCCAATAACAATGGTCGCCAGGATTAAAAGAGAAAATGAAACTTACCCACAAGGACACAAACAGCAATATCAACCTAACTGGAGTAGTTCTAATCCTTTCACACCCTATCCAAGATAAGCTTTGTCCTTAGTTATATTTTAACAGTACATGTACCTGCTACAGGCTAGGTGACGGACCTGTAAGTCGCTGCCCGTTTCCTTGTTTTTGTGCATACATGCTTACCTGTGCTGTGATTGGACAAGTGATTTTGGCTGTATACCTGCTGATCTGCTGTGGCTAATCACAGCACAGAGTTCTGAGTTTACCAACACACAAAACTCTGTACACAGAACAGTGATCTGGCTGTTTCTTCACCGTGAAATCAAATCAGGGAGGTAAAGCAGCCAGATCTGTGAGTAAAATCAGCACACATTGCACTTGTTAGACACACAGTTAAACCCTTGATTGCCCCTAGATGTTAGCCCCTTCCCAGCCAGTGTCATTAGTACAGTGTACAGTGCCATATCTGATCACTGTATTAGTGTCACTAGCAAAATCAGTGATAGTCAGTTAGTGTTTCACCCAGCCAGTGTCTGTTAGCGTCAGATTGCCCACCACGAGGGGCGGACTGACCATTTGGAAAATCGGGCACTGCCCGAGGGCCCGGGGGGTCAGTAGGGGGCCCCATGAGATGCCCCTGGTACCTTTTTCATAGGCTTTTTTGAGTTTGGGCAAGGACACAGGGGCCCCATAATCCCCTATTGCCCGGGTCCCCATGAGTTGTCAGTCCGCCCCTGCCCATCACACTATCACAATCACACTATAAGTCGCTTATAACTGCCATTGCAAGTATAACGTCTATAGTGGTGTAAATTCCAGTATATATACCATAGTTTGTAGATACTATAACTTTCACATAAACTAATTAATATTCCCCTTTTGAGATTTTTTTTTATTGGAAATGTTTTTAGAACAGAAATTAGGAATTTATTTTACATTTTTTTTTCTCGTTTATATGACACTAAATAAAAAACCTGTGGTGATCAAATACAACCAAAAGAAAGCTCTATTTGTGCGAAAAAGATACATATATCTATATCTTTTTCACATTGTTATAAAAGATATATTTATATATATATATATTTCATTTCGGTATACCGTTGCTTGACCGCACAATTACCAGTTAAACATGCCCTGGTCATGAAGGGGGTAAAACCTTCCGGAGGTCACGTGGTACATGAATGTATTATTATATTTATTTTATTAAATGTATTCTTGTTATATTATATCCTATTATATTAATTATTAAATATGATTACGTTTTTATTATTATACACTAGAAAAAAAACACAATGTTTAAGGGCCTTGAAGGAACCCCCCTCCTTAGGGAAACATTGCCATGTTTTTCGATACACTTCAATTGATGTAAAATACATTAGGGAGTAAAAAATGCTTAGCAGATATTATAAAGTTATTGTGTGTTATGTATATATTACTTCATTTGTTTGTATTGCATGTTTTATTATATCATTATGACTGTCTATTTAAAAAGACACTTGGAATACGCAGCCCCCAAGAACAGTAGAGCATTAGACAGATGTCCCCTTTGCCCATATGTTAAATTCATGACTAGTTCTAGTGTTTATTTGTATTTTAAGACAGACACTCCTAGAATACGTTTCCAGATGGACTACTTACCGCACACAAGAAACACTCACCATTTGCTGCCTTTAGATTAGACCAAATTGCTGCAGCCAAGATGAGCTGAAACAGGACAGCGTCTGAATACTAAAGACTTCCTCTCAGCCTATAAACTTTGAACATTTTATTGCCCTTGAGCCAAGCAATGATTTCAGGTGATTCCAAGTTTTTATGACAAACTATTAAAATTACAACGATTAAAAAATAATTGGAAGCAAATGGCTAGAAAAAGGAAAAAGGTAAAAAATAATATAAAAATAAAATAAAAATGTCATTATAGTTGAGGATAAAATGCCAAGATGGTGGCAGATATATGCTGTTGTTACATGAGGGAAAAAATAAATAAAAATAGAATTTTATTGGATAAAGTTAAATTACTTGTCCAATGCCTTAACTAAAGAAAAAATATTACAATGTTCTGGCGATCCGAAATGATCAGGCGAACAAAAGAAGATGCATCTGTTTGTTAACCAAAAAAGAAAAGCTAAGAGTGAATACTGAGTTTTATTTACTCAGTCTATTTATATAGAGACAATATATATTTCACAGTGCACAGAATCTTTCACACCAGTCAATGGTCCATTGGTCATTACAATCTAATGTCTTAGTGTATATAAACCTAAGAACAAAAGAGTTATTGTATTATATTGTAGCTTACCAGTCCTTACATGAGGGCAGCTTTCTTAACCTTTTTACCCCAGAAAGCCCTTTTCAAGTCTCCCTGCTAGAAAAATATCTTACATTGCTCCTTACATTGGTGGTTGGTGGGAAGAATACTTCTTACATTGGTAGTCATTGGGAAGAATGTTACTTCTATTGGCGGTTAGTGAGAAGAATGCTCCTTACATTGGTGGTCAGTGGGAAGAATGTTTCTTACATTGATGGTCAGTGGGAAGAATGGTTCCTTCTATTGGTGGTCAGTGAGAAGAATGTCTCTTACATTGATGGTCAGTGGGAAGAATGGTTCCTTCTATTGGTGGTCAGTGAGAATGTCTCTTACATTGATGGTCAGTGGGGAAAAATGGTTTCTTCTACTAGTGGTCAGTGGTAAGAATGTTCCTTGCATTGATGGTCAGAGGGAAGAATGGTTCCTTCTATTGGTGGTCAGTGGTAAGAATGCTCCTTGCATTGGTGGTCAGTGGGAAGAATATTCCTTCTGAGGGTCAGTGGGAAGAATGTTCCTTACACTGGTGGTCAGTGGAAAGAATGTTCCTTCTATTGGTGGTCAGTGGAAAGAATGTTCCTTCTATTGGTGGTCAGTGAGAAGAATGCTCCTTACATTGTTAACCAGTAGGAAGAATGTTCCTTTTATTGGTGGTCAGTGGGAATAATGCTCCTTACATTGGTGGTCAGTGAGAAGAAAGTCCCATACATTGGTGGTCAGTGGGAAAAAAGTCCCTTTACAGTTGTGTTCAGAATTCTTTCCTTCATACAGCTAAATAAATCATTGTTGACTCTGCCAAGTGGCCGTGGCCCATTTGTTCACCCAGGCTTCAGCTTCTATAACAGGGTACAGCAAGCTTTTGCAAAGCTTCAGCAAGCATTGGGTAAAATAAGTATTGAACACGTCACCATTTTTCTCAGTAAATATATTTCTAAAGGTGCTGCTGACATGACATGACATTTTCACCACATGTAGGAAACAACCCATGCAATCCATACATACAAAGATATCAAAACAAACAAATTCAGAAATTAAGTTATGTGTAATAAAATGAAATGGCACAGGGAAAAAAAGTATTGAACACGCTAACTAAATTTATTTAATACTTCGTACAAAATCCTTTGCCGGTATTTTGTTCACCCAGGCTTCAGCTTCTATAACAGTGTGCAACAAGCTTTTGCAAAGCTTCAGCAAGTTTCAGAACCCTTGATTGCATGTGGATGGTCTGTCCTTGTCACTATCAGGATGCCCAACAAACACAATGAGCTTTGTGTTTGTTATGAACTGGGGTCAGGTCTGAACCTGGAAGTCAGCTGTCATTCTTGTGCCAATCAGCAGCTTATGAGGCAATCCCTGCCTCACAGCTGATGTAGACATAGTGACATATTTGACCTATTCTGGTCACATGGCCATATTACGTCAATGCCGTTGACCTAACATGGCCAAGTGGCTATATAAGGTCAATAATGTCATGAGCATCCCTGTCCTTTTGTATACATGCATTTGCGTGTTGGGCAATTTCCCTCCTTCAGCCAATTGGCCTAGCAATGAGAGCTAAATTCCAGGTTTAGACCAAGCCCAAGCTTGTTCCTAACACTGGAGCAGAGCATGTGCATGTAAACAGAAAAGAAAGAGACTGGAGCAGATCAGCAGCACTGAGATGCAAAAGGATGAAAATAAAAGTGAAAACCAAGTTTTACAAAAATATAATATCAATTGTTTATTTCACACAGTGCTCTAGCGAACAAAAACCAGTTTGGGTTTTCTTTAACTCCTGTCTTTGTTTATGGATCCCTACTATCAGGAATGGACTTGCCAATAATGGTGGGACTCACCTGCCTTGTGGGCTGCAGTACCAGCGCTGGCCAGCGGGTGCTCTCAGCAATCAGAGACTCACCCCTGCAGTCAGCCAAACACCTGAAATTGATTGCAGGGGTTGTATTTAAGGAATGGCCAGACTCACAGTCAGGGCCTTGGTGTGTGTTTTTTCCATGGGCCCCTGTATCTTGTATCCTGTGTTCCTGTTCCTGCCTGACTTGTTGCCGACCCTGTCTGATCCTGACCTCTGCTGACTTCTCCTGCTTGATCCCTGGCTTGTGACCCTGACCATTCTCTGCCCGACCCTCTGCACCGCGCTGCCCGTGAGTTACTGAACCCAGCTTGTGACCCCGACCACTCTCCCGCCTGTTCCTGGTACTCTGTTTGCCCGTTTGCTACTGACCCGGCCTGCCTGACTACTCTTGCATTGTATGTATTGTTATCTGTAGGTGGTTTTGTTTGTTTGCACTGTGTTTATATTTAGTTTTGCACTGCGTTTTGTATTGTTAGTCTTAATAAATCATATTGTTTATACCATATCTGAAGCCTGCATTTCCCTGTGTCAGTCCACACACCCTCTGGTCATACCTGGAGCCTTGACACCTACCATCGTTCTTGGATGTGACGCTCGTGTAGAAAGTAGGTTATGCTTGACTCTAGAGTTGTGTGTCATGGTTTACTTATTGAATGCAGGCAATAAGGAGAGCTAGTAGTGCTTTATGGAAGTTTAACGTTTATCTTACACCTCAGGAGAATTGTAGTTACTGCGCAGTACGCTCATCCATCACTGCTGGGCCAGAAGACGATGGCTCATTTATTAGTGACCTGGGAACTTGCGATTTCTCTTCTGCGGATCCAAGCATGGCTGCCGTGTCAGCACCAAACTGGCTCCCCTTTTGAAGGCGTAAAGGTCTCTCCTCCTAAACTGCTCTAATGAGCTATTTACCGACTTCCAGTAAAGACACCCAGCAACATTTCTCACTCATGTTTCCTGTGACTTTTCTTGTTCAGTTTAGGGGAAAGAGAGACGTTTCATGCTGCAGCTCCAACAGGCTGCTGAGAATTTCAAAATTCACAATTTGCAAGCAGTGGAGGAAAAGAATGAAACTTACAGTATAGGTACTGCTGTGTGTGAAAGTGCTAATAAACTCTTTAACCTCCTCGGCGGTATGATTCTTTCCGATTTTTTGTGCTGAAAGCGGTACCATTTTTTTGCATGGAAATATGTAGTTTTTTTATTGTAGGCTGTAATTTTTAGGAATAACTCACTGAAATCTGTACGAAACAAGAGTCTAGTAAACATCCCGGGTAGGATAAAATTTGAAACACGAAATCATAAATTATAATTTAATAAATAATCATAAAAAATAATAATATAATAATAATAAATTTAATTCAATAAAATAATCAAACCAAAAACACTGAAATTTGAAATACAGAGGCAAATTCGCACATAGCTGAGCAAAGTCGCAAAATCGTTTTCAGTGTCTGATGACGAAATTTCCCCCCAACAAATCATTATCACTCAATTCTGCAAGTGGTTCTGATTTACTATCGCTGTTCTCTAGCTGGTCTAAAACCGCTTTTGACCTAAAGGGACGCTTTTTGGACGCCATGGACTTTTCTAAGTTTCCAGGCAGAAAGAACAGTAAAAATGCAGGCAGGGCGCAGGACAAAGCACTCGGGACAAAATGTATGTGAAATGCATTGAAACAGCAATGTTTTTACTATGTAATAATCATTTTTAAAAAAATGAAATTTTTTAAAAATTTCAAATTTGCCACCGGTTCCGGCGCTTGTACGTCCCGACGTCACAGGGACCGGAACAAGGAAGCCAGATGCCGGCATCGGCCGGAGGAGATGGCCAGGGACGCTGCAGGGGACACATCGTGGGAGCGAAGGACAAGGTAAGTGATGCAGGGACTCCCTGAGCAACGCCGCATGGTAAGCCCGAGTGTAGCTCAGGGTTACCGCTTTTGGTACTGACATTTTACCCCGAGCTACACTCGGGAATACCGCCAGGGAGGTTAATAAGCCCGCTGAACTGCCTAGCCTCAATCAATACACAGAGATTAATTAAATCCTTAAATGTTGGGCGGCACAGTGGCTTAGTGGTTAGCACATCTGCCTTGCAGCAAATGGGTCATGGGTTTGATTCCCAACCATGGTGCCTCCTGCATGGAGTTTGCATGTTCTCCCTGTGCTTGTGTGGGTTTCCTCCCACACTCCAAAGACATGCTGGTAGGTTAATTGGATCCTGTCTAAATTGTCCCTAGTATGTGTATGTATGAATGTGAGTTAGGGACCTTAGATTGTATGCCCCTTGAGGGTTAGGGACTGATGTGAATGTTCAATATATATATGTGTAAAGTGCTGTGTAAATTTACAGCGCTATATAAGTACCTGAAATAAATAAAAATGTAAGCTGTACCTGTTTATTCGTAGTTCTCTCACCTCCACAACTTTCCAAAGTTCATAGTATAACTGGTATTTCTCAGCTTCAAAGAGGCAGGGGGAAGGAATCTGATGCCACACTCTACAGAGTATAGAGCTGAGTGCAATCGGAGACCTTAGTGGAGGGAAAGGACACATCCACCTCTACATAGCCTCATATGGGAATATGCACAGCTGAGGCTTTCAATCACCTGCTGTTTTCTGGGAAGGTGGGGGAGTCACCAAGGGTTGCCTGGTATCTGGAAAAAATTTCAGAAGTGCCTCATATAGACAGCAGAGGGAGGAAAGTGCAGAAATGTATTATGCTAAATGCTGTGGACTGAGACAAGTTAACACTATTTAAGGATATACTTTGTTCATTTTTAATTTCAGAGGTTTAAAACCATTGCAAAGTGTAACTTCAAGCAAAATTAAATCCCAAGCTAAATGCCTTTCAATTATAAAGTGCTTAAGGTTCAGGATAAACACAAGTTTAGAGTGAACCTTGGCTGTTTGGGCATTTGGACATATGCCTGAAGATTTACTCAATGCAAAGTTCATGTATAATAGCGTTTTACCACCACGATTATACATGACAGCTTCCCGCTATTAATGGTTATTAAGGATTTCAACGGATGCAGGCACTGCTGGGTCCTTAACAACTAGTGACATCACCAACCCATGGCCGGTGCATGGGGATTCCCCAGTAATTCATACCAGGCCCTTCTGATCTTGTACAAATGTTAAGGGGGACCCCATGCAAAAATGAAAAAAACATAAACAACATGAGGTCCCCCACAAAATCCACACCAGACACCAGACAATAATTCCAGCATGTGAGTAGTGGGAAGACGATGAGCAGGGCAGTCTTCAGAGAAGGCTGGCCTGGAATATTGAGAACAGAGCTGATATCATAACACTGTGACTGCTGTGTGCTACGGTGATAGGCGTATAAGCAGGTGCTTACAGGTTTGTGATGTAAAATACAGTTCACTATTTTTTTACTGTTCTGTTCAAGAGGGATATAGAATATTTATTGGTAAATATGTTATAGCAGTATTATGTTAGTGGGTTTGCAGGCTGCCCTAGAGTTAGGAAGGGGTTAAGTCTGCCTACTTCAGTGTGTTTATAGCTCTCCCCCTTGTTGTGGGACTATAAATACAAGAAGAGGCAACCTTTCTGGGCCTTGAGTTGTTGGGCCTCCCTCATGGGGACCGGTCTGAAGGTATGCTGCATAATGTAGCTCTACAGTGAACGTGCTCTGGGGTACCCAGTTGGGGGGTGGCAAAACCAGAATATGGACCTTCCAGAAGGTACTCTCCTTTTATTAAAGGTATGATATGGGCAGCCTTGTTTAGGAGGAATTGGAACTGTCTGTAATGAACTATGGGAGAGTATATTGTATTAAATCTCGACTCGCAAGACGCTTCGGGGAGTCTTGCTGCATAATATAGCTCTACAGTGAACGTGGTCTGGGGTACCCAGTTGGGGTGGCGAAACC